ACGCAGGTTTGCCAAAGTTTTGAGAACTCTAACGTTTGAGATTTAGCAATCTCTATACATGATACGAGGTAAATAAAAATCTCGTACTCTTTGATATGAGATTTGAACATTGATGACTGTTTTTGCCATTTACACAAATCAAAAATATTATCAGAAAGTAAACAAGCGCGGCCGCGCTCGCGAAAACACAATTCCTTTAGGTACGACAAAAAAAATCATGTAAAAGTGACCGAAACACAGGGGTATTTTGCTGATCTAGCCTTAAATAAATAAATTCCCTTAAATATCTACGTCGACTTTTCCTGTACTCCTGTATATAAAACAAAATCGTGTTAGAGCACTTAAAACTCAATGACGTCTGGACCGATTTTTATGCGATCAGTTTTCATTTTTTGGTCTCCGCCCCTAATAGTAGAGAAAAAAGTATGCAGGATATCAATTTTCAATAAATAAATTATTAGGTTTGGTATTCCATCATCTTCCACATTTAATAGCTCACGTCACGCATGCACAAATATTGTACTGCTCAGCTAATCAGTAATCAGCTACCTACTACATTATAGATATTTTTTAAAATAATGAAATGAAAAGGTAATAACCCCGCTCTCTTATCGTTGGGGGTTAAAAGTGGGAAAATAGCCTACTCAATAGATATGGTTATGAATGAATGAATATATTCTTTATTGAGAGTTTTTTCAGAAATACTAAATGGAATAAAATGAAAGTAAATACAAAAGGCGACTACTAAGGTAGAAATCTCTACCAGACAGTCTTTACCTTCAACACTATACTTCAGTTTATATATCACAGTTTTCATTTCAACAGGACATAAATTTTACTCCATTTGGTTTTAGTTTCCAAAAATGTAATAGAAGCATTCAAGACGATTTCGGTTTTAGTTTCATTTTGTTCTAAAAATAATTTAAGAAAAACTAAATTTAAAACCCGATTGTACCTATAGAGAATGCAAAAAAAACAAGATATCTAGGTAGTCCATTTATTGTAGGCACTACCAGTAAATGTCAATGACAATGATACAAATTATCGTGATCGTGTTTATAATTTCTTGGTTTGCTCTTTATATGATTGTCACATATGAGCAAGCAAGCGATCCATTGGTGGTAAAGCAGTCACCATTACCTATGGACGGATGCGGGTATTACATGCGCGTTGCTGACCTTGTGAAACACGACTCTTCCGAAAAAACTCCATGATGTTTCATTTCTTTAGGAAAACCTCAATAGGCTTATTCCTTGCTTAATCGTACGCTTGAAGAAGGGTCCTTGAAAAGTCGCTGTGCATGACCAAATTTTGCAGAGTTTGAGGAGGAATATATATAAACCAATATTGATGTCGATTCTGGCATGATTCTCCAAACTTAAAACTAAATTTAACATCAGTCGCTCCTTTTCATTCTGTATTGACAATGACAAGGATACACGGTTGTCAAATTTAAGTTTAGGTTGAACTATTTTTATCTTCCTTAATGTTTTATACGTCCTTTGTCGTCATACTTGCCCTTATGCTTCACGTGTTTTCATCATGTTACTTCGACACCAGACTAGGGTTACTATTTAAAAATTTAAAAATCCTGACAAAAAGCCGGACATATCGATAGAAATCCGGACGTTTTAGTCACAAAATGCATACATCACGCACTTAGTTACAGTGATATTATACGCGTGGTAGCAGACGCTCGCATCGCGAGGGGGGTCTCGTTGTTGATTTTCAAAGATAGTTTATATTTTGTTTTAAATTAATGGGATCTTAATAAAGATAATTTGACTTATTTGATATAACTTATTTAACATTTGATATAACTTAAATTTTATGATTCCATCTAATTAAAAAAATCCAAAAAATACAAATTAAAAAGTCAGGCAAAATCTGGACAAAAGGTAAAAACTCCGAACATGTCCGGACAAATCCGGATGGTAACTCTACACCAGACTGATACTCACCATTTAAAAATTCGAGCGAAAACATTATCTTTTTTTTTTCATTTATAAGTAAAAGATACTACATGAATATTGGTTATTATTATTGGTTTACATGATATAAACTCATGTTTACTACCTGTTTTACACACCTACAAACAACGTTATTATAGTAAGTAAATTGTCAGTACCAAATGTTTTCTTGTTCTATTGCAGTTTATAAGTTGTAAAAAGCCTACTTGGCTGTGTTGTGATACTTACTGCTATCACCACTGTTACTTTTTTCAAGATTTTATGTCACCACTATTTCGTTGTACAGCTGACTGGTACTGATACCTTTGAGCTAAGCTGCCGGTTAGCGTGTTCAGTTCAGCAGTTTTCACAACGGTCACAGGATATCTGTGTTTGTATCGGTATTAGCACCTTTTTTTTGTGTTTCTCTGGAAAATACCTTACGCATCCTTCAACCACTGGGGGAGCGAGAAGAAGGTATGTGGGACTCCTCTCTGTCCCCTTCAGCCAGCCCTGGAGCTCGCTGATGTAAACAGGGCCCTACCTACGCCCTAAACAGGGCCACTAAAAACTAGACAATACTCCTGCACCGTCACCCATAGTGGTGTGGTCGCGAAACCCGTCTCCGAATGGCCGCGCACCCGCTAGGCGTCGGTGTTAGCACCTAACGATCTACACTAGGCACGCATGGTAGGTTAATGTAATGAATTTCGTGCATAATGATCAGGTGCGGTCCGAAGATGGGTTCGTACGTCGGTCAGGGATATGACTCTCACCCCCCTAAATCAAATTGAAATATCTACCTACCGAAAATGTAAAAATTAGACAAAAGAAAATTTCTGCCACAAGCCGCAGTGCATTTAATGTTTTGCTAACATCTAATAAACGGCGCTATTATTTATAAACTACGATGTCATTAAAAACCTATAAGTGTTTGGTTTCTTCTGAGTGGATAATAGTGGTAAATAAGGAGAAGACAGCTGAAAATTATGAAATAAGTGATAGAACATTGTTTTGATTGATGAGTATGCGGCCTACATTTCTTTGTCGATTCAGCTATCTTTCCAAACCATTCTTCTTTTACATTAGGGGGAGTGGGCTGATTTGTTGTGTTCATGAAAATAACAAATCAAAAACAATTTTGCAGTCTTGTGCTCAAATCATATAAGTTTTTTTATATATTTAGTTATATAGAAATGACTCCACTCTACGTGATGTGGTGGTGGAGTGTGATCGTATACAGGGTGGAAATTTTGAATGCCACCCCCAGGGGAAGTACTCTAAATGCTGGAGATAGATAATTTTACCCACAGGAAACATTCTTTATTTTTAAAAAGAAACACAACTGCATTCACAGTTTTTCGAAAATTTGCTTGCCACACCCGGGAATCGAACTGGCAAAAATTCGAAAAAATGACAAATATGTGGCATCGATCGATAGATTATTTATTATGATAAAGGAGACCAGGCACTTTTCATAGAAAAAATGCTAAACTTGTATACAGTTGAATTTGGTCTCAAAATAAAGCCAAAATTATTTGCTACATAAAACTACTTTTGCCTTATTTTTAGTGAATCGTGGAAAGAAGTTATATAATGATTAATATTTTTTGATATGGAAACCCTAAATCTTCAAGGGACAGAATTTTGCCACCCATTCAAAATATTTAAGATTCCTTAATAATATTTTGGTAAAGCTTAATTAATGAGGTTAACGTGAAACGAAAGAGAAGAGTATATAGAATCTATAAAACTCTTTTTAAAATAATTTATAAGCCAGAAAAAGCTCCACCTCTGGTCGTTAAAAAATCAAGAAATACTATTCTGTTCACGAAACGTATATTCTTTTTTTGTAATTATTAACGACCGGAGTAGGAGTCTTTTTTGGTTTTAGAAATTACTTAAAAAATTGAAACATGAACAAAAACATGTGTAAAATACGTCAAAATCTTATATTTTGACAATTAAATAAAACAAATGTTTTAGTTAATATACATATCATTAACAACCACTTAAATTTTAATGTATAGTATATTTTCTAATCTACCTATATTATATCCAAGTTTTAGTTATTATCTACGGTAATTTATGTATTTAATTAAGATTGTTGCTGAATGTTTATAATAATATATTATTCCTTTATAACAGCAATAAAGATTATTTATTTATAAATGTTTACTTTATTGGGAAGAAATCCTTGTATTCATATAATTATAGATTTTTAGTTGACAATCATAAACACAAGTATCTATTGCAATCCCATATTAACAAATTGAATTTACAGTTGTAGGTCCGATTAACAGTAATATCAAAGGAGAACTACATTTCATCCAAACAAAGAGCGGTCATCTGCAATTGATCTACGAGCCCTACATATTTGTGACGGACAGCGTGCGCAGCGGTCGAACGTTTTGGAGGTGCATGGAGTATGGGAAACGATGTCGGGCCCGCATCACTTCCAAAAACAATGTCTTGCGAATCACTAATCCCGTTCACAATCACATAGAAAACCATATGAAGAAAATCACTCGGAAATACGAAGAAGGAGAGGTAGTCACGTGCCCAAGCGTGTAAAAATGGACTACTTAAATGTCATAATTAACATTTAATTATTGCGTGTGATTTTTAAGTCAGTAAATCAACTAAGGAATGGTGACTCGATTGTGTTCCATTACTTAATATATGATTTGATTTTATTAATGAATGTGTTTTTCGTAATATTGTAACTATAGGCTAAAACTCATTGTTTCAATTTGGAAGTCTATAGAGTCCCAGAGTAAGGATATTTCATTCATTACTTTAACCGTGGTAGTGTATGTTTGACTAAAGGAATTACTATAAAATTCTAATTCAACTAATGTAATTGACGTTCGCATAACGCAATGAAATTATTTTAAGTACTTTATTTTTTAATCGTTTCCAATATAAAACATTGTGATCGAGTAGTTATAAGACTAGTTACTTATTTAAGGCTTGAATAAATCATTAAAGAGATCGTGAGTGAATTTTACTAAGTTTTTTTTGTATTGTGGTATTTGTGTGATGCCACAGGCGACCGGGGCCGGGGGTCGCAGGTGTGGTACTCGGTGACACGTCGGGGTGCGCCGTCGCTCCTGGTGGATGGGTTTGCGTTCGTGGCGCGCAAGCGGCGCAGCGCGCGCGTCTATTGGACGTGCCGTAGCAGGGCACAGGGCTGCGCGGCACGGGCGCTCACATTGAATGGTCGGCTATTGGCACGCGCAGCTGACCACACACACCCACCGCATGCCCCCTTGCAAGATGAACATATGCGCATTGAAAGCCTCATTGAGACCATACAGTCCAATCAATAAATACGTTTACCTTAGTCTATATCATTTGTTTTCTCCTTCATCATTGGCATGATAAAAAACTAACAACACGCATACGTATTCGTACGTACGTACTATGCGATTCAAATAAGTACACCGCCACGACAAATGTCGCTTGAAAAGTACGGTTTGCAAAAAAATCTTAGAACCCCTTTTTATTACTCGGCTAATTCTAGAATAAAAACCAAACATTTGTAAACAAACAATAACAAATATTGATCATTAATATTGGTTGATTTTTTTTTCATTTATTGAGCTTTGGCTATGAATGTTTGATAACCTAAATCGTCAACCAAATGTCACTTTAAGTTGCGTTCAGAAACTCGATTTAAAACTTTCGTTTACATAAAGGATGCATGTTTGTATGTGACCTATAATAGTATATAGTAATAGTGCGTGATTATTCATAACTATGCGGTAATGCAGAGGTGAGCGGAATTGAAGACCTAGACTCTGATTAATGTTTTTTCTCACACAGTCTTAATAAATAATAATTATTATAAATCTTTTTTTTTCTCAATCGTAGTAAATAAATTTAATTTAAAATATCTGATCTTTTTTCCACTTAATTTTAGTAAATAAGTTTTATTAAATAATTTGTTTTGCTCACACTATTTGGTTAGAATTGACAGCTATGACGTCACAATATGGCGCCCAGTCGGTCCTATTCTTATTTGAATCGCATTATACTTAATATATGATTTGATTTTATTAATGATTGTGTTTTTCGTAATGTTGTAACTATAGGCTAACTCATTATTTCAATTTGGAAGTCTGTACAGTCCTAGGGAAAGGATATTTCATTTATTATCTACTTTTACTATGGTAGGTAGTGTATGTTTGACTAAAGGAATTACTATAAATTTCTAATTCAAATAATGTAAATGACGTTCGCATAACGCAATGAAATTATTTCTTTGCTAATTAATTTTTATTAATGTCAACAAAAGGTAGAACAATAATTACAAATTTAATTTTTTTTATGAAATTATTTAAAGTTCTTCATTTTTTTATTTACCATCGTTTCCAATATAAAATCATTGTGATCGAGTAGTTATAAGACTAGTTACATATGTAAGGCTTGAATAAATCATTAAAGAGATCGTGAGTGAATTTTACTAAGATTTTGTAGTATTGTGGTGTTTGTGTGATGCGACAGGCGACCGGAGCCGGGGGTCGCTGGTGTGGTACTCGGTGACACGTCGGGGTGCGCCGTCGCTCCTGGTGGATGGGTTTGCGTTCGTGGCGCGCACGCGGCGCGGTGCGCGCGTCTATTGGATGTGCTGTAGCAGGGCACAGGGCTGCGCGGCACGGGCGCTCACATTGAACGGTCGGCTATTGGCACGCGCAGCTGACCACACACACCCGCCGCATGCCCCCTTGCAAGATGAACATATGCGCAACGAAAGACTCATCGGGACCATACAGTCCAATCAATAAATACGTTTACCTTAGTCTGTATAATTTTATTTCTCCTTCATCATTTGCATGATAAAAAACTAACAACACGCATGCGACTTAACAGGTGTTGGTGTGACCGATTGTGACGGGCTTAATGTTTTACAGTTGAGTTCGTGATATCGAATCGGGGCCGGCGTCATATGCGACTCGGTGGTTTTTCGTTTTACGCGGAGAAGGTGTTTCCAGAGAAAAACAAGGTGCGGTGGCGGTGTACGCGGCGGACATGCAGGGCTTACGCGCACACGCTGCACGATCAGATATTCGCGCTGAGCAATGTGCACTCGCACGAGCCGCCCGTGCTACCGCCGCAGACGATCGTGGCCGCCGCCGCCAGCGCCGCGTCCGCCGCACACCGCGCGGTTGCGCAAGCAGCCCTCGCAGCTCAAGCGAAAGCTATGTTTGACGAATAACTAACCTGCTTCGCCTAACCCTCATTGCTGACTTATTTTTAATTTCTCTAATAAGTACATTAATAGATTCCATTTGAATCACCTTGAATGCAAGCCAAACAATGCAAACATTCAACTTACATATTAATAACAGAAAATAGAAAAAAAACATTAAATTAGAAGTAATAATTGAATATAAATATCTAAATAATTATTAAGCTTCGAAACTATTCATGGTCACCAATCTGGTATGACGTGCAACTGAACACGCTCAAGGCACGTTTATTATTTTCCAGCGCTCGAATACAATTGATCTTCATGTACTGTGTTTGAACTAGCTCATATTCTGCATGTACATATTATGTATGACTCGTAATATTAGACAGAATTATAACGATTTTATACGTATTTTACTTGTTCGATGCTTTCTGTCTATATAATATTTTTATATATTTTTTGCTGACTAACTTATTTATTAATGAACTTATATTTATTTTGTTAAATTCAAAATGCTCGTGGTTGTCGTGGGTTATGGTGATTATTATGATAGAAATATAACAAATGAGTGATCACTGGTTCTGAGGTATGATCTAATCTAGTCAATGTTTAAAATTTAAGAAATAATTAGTCATAATTTATTAACCATGTAGCTTGTGGGATATAATAGCACAAAAGCATAATAATAAGTCATACATGTTCTGGTTTATGTTCAAATGTAAAAATAACTCATTGATTATTATACTATCCCTGTTTAAATGATTTATAACTTAGAAAAAAATAAGATCTCTTTAATATCGCAAAATTTTAAGTAAATTAATTAATTAGACCTCTCACTAAATCAATAATAATGATAGTAGTTAATAATATTTAGCAATAATAATGTTTATTTTTATATTGGTTTGAAATGAGTGAGCGTATTTATTACCAATTAGTAATGACAAATATTTAAAATAGTCTAATAGTATAAAACGTGTATAATATATTCTGAGTAAATGAAAATAACAGTACTCATTTATTTTTACATTGAGTTGTCGAAAAATGCTTGCAATGAAAACTTTCAAGTCGCAACGTAAACATGGGATGATTGTGGTGCTGACTAACGTTTGCATGTGTCATTTATTCTGGCGGTATATTTGATCTGGTTTTTGTTGGATGTGTTTTAGAGAAGAACGTGCGGTTGTGCGTGGGTCCGGGCGGGCGGCCGCGGCTGTGGGTGCGTGGGCGCAGTTTTTACGCGGCGCACACGATGCGCTCCGGCGTCGTGCGCTGGCGATGCACGATGGGCGGTTGCGGCTGCAAGGCGTACACACAGAAAGGCACTCTGCACAAACTAGTCGGGGAACATAATCACGCCGGGCGTTGCAGGCGCGCCAAAGCAACCGGACCTGGTGCGATACCCACACCCCTTCTCCTACCGCGGCTACCACGACAAGATTTCGACGATTTCGATCCCAACGCTTGGATGGTCCGATATTGAAATTCGTCAGTTTCATTTTATAATAAAATTTTCTCACCTCCGAAACAAGTAAAATACTTTAAGCTCTGAGTTACTACCGCTTTCTGGACGTTTAAATCTCCTGTATGTTTATGGTTGCATATCAATAATGTTCTAAGGAGATTTGATAATTATTCGGATAAAATGACAAAATAATATGGTGCCAAACTACATTGTTTTTATGAATGAACTGGGTAATAAAGTATTTAATTCCTACCATAACATAAGTTGAGTCTCAAATTTCCTAAAATGATCGTGCCATTAATGATCAATCTAGTCACAAATTAGTATTTATAGTAATTATTCTACAAAATATTGGTAAGCTAAGTAGATTTATTAGGTAAGATCTCATTTTATCAAAGCCGTAGGTAGTGTAGTTAAGTGCCAAAAGTTAAATTTGATTATAGTGCGTCGTCTTTATAATCAGAAATTTTACTGTACATAATCTAAGGCAATTATTTTAAATATTATAAACTTGCTTTAGTCTAAGTAATCAAATATTTGATATGCCAAATTTGTCTTCCTGTTTTTTTTACACAATGTTATTTTGACCTTGTTCTTGATCATTATCTAATTTTATATTTTAAATGATGCCATAATTTTATTACTTAATTAAAAAGTGCCAAATAATTGCTCATTTCGTCTAATCGTCTTATAGGACAAAAAAATATCGATGTAATTTTTGAATGTGGAAATCATGAGTTGTGTATGTGTATTTGTGCTAAATAAATATAGGTAAAACTAAATTAAGCTTTTTATTAAAGTGCATAGAATTATAAATAATACCATTATTGTTGTTTGATTACCCCTTTTGATATTGATCCTTTTAATATTTTATTATAATTTTTATCCTAAGTTGACTTGATTTTTTTATGGATAGAACCCAGCTCTGGCTTTAGATATCATTAATGTAGCTATTAAGATAGTGTAGGGAATCTTAGTAATATATTGATAGTTATGTACATAAATACATTTATTAACTTGTTATGTTTTGAACAGCACGCTTCATTCGCGCTGGCAAGGGACGTCTGCTACTCCACCGTGGTTACACGTTTCGCTTGAAGAATAACTTGGCTCACGGACGCAAGCAGTGGTACTGTTCTTCGCGTTTGACCTCCCGTTGCCTCGCTGATGTCAACACCGAAGGCCCCGAGGGGCACGAGCGCATCGTTAGGTCTCGGTATGCTCACAACCACGCGCCGCCGAATGTTCGTCGATTCGCAGACGGTAGGTACGTGGTTCGTACACCACACCAGAGCGGGCATCGCGCCCCTGCGCCACTGGACCCACACCACCAGCTGCTGCAGCTGCAGCATGCCCTCGCGCTGTACGCTGCAACGGCGCACGCCACCGCCACCGCCAACGCGAGCGCTGCCGTCACCAACACCGGCACCGCAGCTCAGCCATCGCCCAACTCGTTGCCGCCGCCAGTTACTCACGCGCCGGCCTCAAAACCGCTCCTCGTTGACACTCCATGCAACGAGGAGGACTAAACGTACAGGAGTTTGCATGTTCACGACTATTAAGATCACTTAAACGATGCATAATATCCAGCATTTCTTACTATATGTTAGCCTATTGGCACACGAGTTTTAGCATAAATTATTTAGAGTAATTATACTATTTAAGTTATAAGGGGCTAAGGTGTCGTATGATTCAGAACGGCTATTGTTGGGTTATTATGTCTGTAACGTGGATGTTAGTTAACCGTTAAGTGGATGTTGTGATGTATTGGATGTTGCGACGACCAGTGAAGGGAACAGAAAATACCAGTGTAATACCATTGGATACGTCGTACGTACGTACGTGTATAGGCTTAAGAGATATCTTCGAGATATAATGTTATCCTTATTAGGTGTGGGTAATATATGGAATCGAATAAGAATGTTAAATGTGTAAGAACTTTCTGTATGTACAGATATGTCATCATGTAACGATATCAGGTAATATACGTCTAATAGATTATTGTTCTTAAAGAGGCAATAATGATAGCTCAAGATTTATTGAAACACATTATATACATGTCATAGTCAAACTTCATAGCCAAGCTTTTAGCTGTGGATACTCAAACCTCAGTTCTTCTAGAATAAGCCTCAATCAAAGTCTAAACCAACGACGTGTTTTGGGGTATGAAAAAAATAATGTACTAACAGAGGGGGTTGGACAGTCTAAAACTTATACGATCAAATAGTTTGTTAATTATTACTATACTTAAATTGAGTTTAGAAACAAACAGATTATTTTGCTTTTAAAATCTTAGGCATGATTGACTCAAAATAAATCAGTGAAATTAAGAAAATGAAACTGAAATCTACCGAAACGCATAATTTGAACCTAAGATCTATGCGCCACTCCCCCAAGCGGCAAATCGATGTTTGACTATAACATAATAATATAAAGGCTTGATGAGGACTACCACGAAATGAAATTATCAGTTTCTATATTTCTATGTGAAAACCACCAAACTGGGTAATTTTAGAATCCCGCTACTTAAATACTTTCAAATCGTGGAATTTACCTTTGATTTATCAATCCGAAATCGTGATTCATCAAATGTTGCATTATATTTAATCAGTAAATCATAGTAGCGGTTTTCTATTAAGCTAATAAAGACATAACAAAGCGATCATAACTTTCAGAAAAAAATCGAAATACAGGTTCTAATAATACGTTTCCTGTAAAGGTATAAATATGAAACTTAGTGGTTTCCTAGAAATTTAGAAAAGTGTCAGGAAGTGAATGCCCAGTCAGTACAATAATTTATTAGACGATCTGTTTAGGTAGATGGTTATTATCCGGAAAAGGCCGATTTTAGCGTTTGATTTAATGTTGGCTCCTGTCGATCCGTGCAGCATCATCGCATTGTCGCGCTAAGGAGGCCGAGGCAGGTACTAGCAGGTTGGTCAATAGGTCAGGTCAAGTCAGATCAGGAACTGAAGGGAACGTAGTAAGTCAATAGACGATTCAGTGGTATTATGTAAAGGCTGGCGGCTTCGGCCGCTGGCGACGAGTCGGTGACTGAATACGGTAACTCGGTTCATAAAAAGCAATATGGGTGCCCCCAGACTGCTACTTAGAAATACTAATTTATTTTGAGAGTTTAACTTTACAAGGTTTCAAAATATTGCTACTTAGACGATTAGAAATCCGCCTCCTAATCTATAAGATTTTGCATTAACTATTGGTAATGTCGAATTATTCATAGTACTTACCTTTGGTGGTGTACGCTCTGCCTTTGCCTAGGTGTGAGCGCAAGCGCGCGCGCAGTCTTTAGTCGATGTTGTTGTGCTCTTTAGGATTGATTTTAAGTACTTAAGCTCAATGAACTACCTCTTCACTTTTTATACGGGTTTTACAGATTAGTTTAATTATACAATTTTATATACATGATAAAATACTCAGAAGCTTTACTCGAGTAAGGTGGCCTAGATGTAAGCTTAGGTTAGATTAGGTTACCGGGCGCGGCGGGGCGGGGAGCCGCGCAGGGTCCGTCGCGCCCTCTTTTACTACCTCAAACTTGACTACCTATTTACTAAGTTTTAACTTGTATTCGATCGTTCACTGTTGACGACTTTAATATAAATAGGCACTTTTTTGAGACTGTTGTCTTAATATATTTTATTAATTGTTTTTTTTAATACTTAATTTGTTGCTCGTCGATGTAATCATATTCAATAAGATTGTGGTTCTGCTTTTGTCTACCACTCTGATTTAAGTACAAATTTTTACTAATTTTAATTGTTATTTAGATGTCTTACTTATACTATGGGTCTTGTGTGTGGTTTTAATGGCGTGATATTGAAGGATGTTCTGGTATAGATGTCATGATAGTTGTGCTAATTATACGAGCTAGCACTAGTAAGGAATGGTTTCAGATATCGTGCTTCAGATAATTCTGAAATGTAATGAAACTGGAAGATTGATGCCGATTTGTCTGAAAACATTACATTTTCTATTTTATTTATAATATCTATTTCAACGAAAGACTTTTCTCGTAAATAGAGTCAATCTATTTTATATACTAACATCGCGTACCTGATCAATACTTAAAGCCAAATAATACAGGTGTCCAAAACCGTGGCGACAGCTATTCATAATAATTCGTATAATTAAATAGTATTTGTAAGTTTAATTGTATATTGTTAAACATATTTAGAGCAATGACAATATAAGTCAATTATTTAAGATTACGATTTATTATTTTTGAAACATAATATTAGGATCTTCTCACCAGTTTGAATGTAAATAATATCGTTTCTTAGAAAGCACTATCCGTGGCTGGTATATTTTAACCCTATGACTATGAATTGTGTACAATCGAATGTTTGGTCTGAATATATCGTAATATGTGATTTTATGTATTTGCTCATATTGTTAACTTATTGCGAATCTCTTAGATAGTGCATGATACGGTGTGTATTAGTGTAGGCGCTACCGCTACGGTTTTGACCTCACTCGGACCCAATACCGCTCATGAAATCAAATTAACTATGTACCTCATACACTGTTAACTAATCTTATACAAGTATAATGTAATTTTATTCTTATACCATTCTATGATTAATCGTAAGATTTTTGGTTCATATTCGGGGTACGTTTTGTGGAATCATATTAAATTGTACTTATAAATAACCGATCGTTTTATTTATGAGTTCCTTCCAAATCCCACCTGAAATTAAACCAACTTCATAAATAGTGTTTTATTGAATATCTTTCATTTGGTTTTGTGATGTGTATTCTATTTGTCTGTGTACCTAACGGATATCTGATACATTTATTTGCTGCAGGTATAAAATTTCTGAAGTCGCGTCGCGGGAAAGTAATAATGATGGTGAACACGTTTCCGTTTTGCGAAGAGTCCAAGCTGAGGGATAAGGTTATATGGAGGTGTACATCGAAAAAGACGAACTGCAAGGCTCGGATACACATGCTGGGGTCGAGTGTAGTGGCGGTAAAGGGGATGCACAACCATCCGCCGCGTGCGCTTTGCCTGCCCGCGCGCAGGGCTAGCGCTCGCAAGCAGCTGGACGCCTCTCCCTCCCCGCAAATGGTGCCATTCGCACCGGATGTCATGGATGCGCTCGCCCTACAGTCCTCCGAAATCAAATAAAGGCTACCGATAATGTATTCGATTCAGATATGTAATGTGATAAATACAAACAAGACAATATCTTAGTTGTAGGCTGTAACCTTCAATAATAGTTTATAATGATCGTTAAAACAATTTGTAAGTAGGTATTTGTGTATTAGTTCCATTCCATTATTCGGCTACATCAATTATGATTCTTACTAGAAAGATTTCATTTTTATCATTGTTTCATATCCAGTTGGTCTAAAATGGCGACCTTTGCACGAACAGAATATAAAGCTTTATTATCATTCTGAGTACAATGGCGTCACAAGTGACATCTTAGTTCTAAACAGTTGCCCGTTTCGATTGTAATTTGAAAATTAAACATTATTAAGAACATTACAAACAACATTATAAATATACAATTTCGCTATTTTAGACCCCTGTGATTTTACAAACTTTCATTCGTTTTACACTTAAGATAAAAATAAGGTGAAGATGACAAATATAGAGACATTTTTTTTACACTTAGACTTTCGTGAAATTTTATAATGTTAGTAAAATTATATCAATAATATATTAACTGTACGTACTCTTAAATGAAATGTTAACTCTCCTAGAGTTTGAATTTCAGCCCACAGAAGTGTCAAAGTGCGTGTCCGACACGTTTTTAGCCGGTTATGTGGCTTGAACTGGTGCTTACGATAGAGGTTGACCCATTCATATTTTATATAAAATTTAAGATGTTGTGATTTTGATGCTTTTTAAAAGTGTGTTTAAACAATTGCTCACTTTATAAACGCCTAATTTAAACAATACAATGTACTAGTTTGCAAAAGAAACAAAATGAAGTTAGGTTAAGTTGTTTAGTTAGAATTATTATTGCTTTAAAAAATATTAATTAGACTTTTAATCGTTACGGTTAGTTTTTATACAGTACTTACAATATTGATGTTATAAACTTGAGTATATTTAGGTAGGTAAGTGTAAAGTGCCTTTTCTGTAAATGATGGGACCAATGTCAATTTATATTATTGATCTACGAAAACATTCCTTATTTAAATCTCCTCAAATATTAAGCGGGGCTTATATATTTTTATTTATGTATTGTATTTCCATTTTTTGATAACTTTATGCCGATTTGAAAAATGCGTTAAATTTGTAAAAGTATTAAGTCTGTAATATTAATAAAATATGTTTAAATTCTGTATTTGTTTGTGTCTTTTGTAGTTTTAGCTGTAAATGTGGTACTTCGGTTATTCTTTGACAGCCTTGTTGATTTTAAAGTTTTAGCTACTACTATTAATACCTACTTAAACATGACGTTCTTTAAAATCATGCTCTTCGTGAGACATTGAAGTACCGGGTCGGTACCTAACTATAAACAGTGAAACGTTTTGATAACCATTGGTATGGTATGGTTTCATTAACCTGTAATTTTTGTTTTGTAAACCTAAAGCTTAATTCCAAAAGAATTTTCCTTATTAGGTCATCCCATGTTCTTCATAAGTATTTCTCTAAAAAAATTTAATAAGAGGATATTGTATAGGTACTCCTCAGTCGAAGCAGGCAGAATTTCGTTTCGGGAAAGTGCCCACCGAACAGGAGCCAGTGATTTGTTGTGGACCGTACTCTTTCCTCAAGGACCGGGACTTCCCCAACGGAAAGACCCGCTGGAAATGTTCCTACAAGGGCGGGAAATGCCCCGCTAATATCTATACTATAGAATCCGATGTTGTACTTTTCTATGATAACCATGAACATAATTGCTAATTTACTGTATGCGTTCGTTTAGAAAGAAGCATACTTGTGACACTTGGAATTAAGTTAAAAATAGTTTATAAGTTACGTTACCTAGTGAGTATTAATTTGTTAATGTAGTTTGTCTTTATAATAACCAAAATATTTTCATATTTCAATTTAAATATATTTTTACGATTTAATTTCGTATTATTTAACGTATTAAATAAATTTCAAATACAATTATTATATTTTAAATAAATATAAATAAAATGACGATCCTATATTTTAGCTATAAGTAGGACAGATAGACCTCAATTGAAATTGTTAAAGCTATAGGCGAATATTTCAATAGCAATGGTGGTTCTATGAGAAATTAAACGAAATTGGTTTGTTTGGGCAAATGACAGACAATCAGTGTATAGAAAATAATCCCGAAATCGTTTACACTGAACATATATGAACATATTGTTTCACATGAAGTAGGTAGCCATAATAATGGTAATGCTGGCAAAACATAATTATTTAATATTATGTTCTTTTAGGGGCTTTGCTTAAAGCTGCTTACATACCGACGGGCAGAGGTAAACACATGTTAGTATTGAATGGTTTTTCTTTCACCGAGACTATGCCCACATACTGGGTGTGCTCGCGTAAGAAGAAAATGAACTGCGTCGCGACCGCGCGCACCAACCGCCGCCGCGAAGTGGTCTCCACCGCCCATCAACATAACCATCCACGGCCGCGCTTCTATCATAAGACAGCCCAAAGGATGATTGAGCTTTGACTTTCTTTTATATAACATAGTTCAAAATTGACTAAGTACAATATAACATTGACGTATGATTATTTATTTTTGGTTTTCATTATCGTATTGCACCCTGACATATCATTTATACACATACCATCGAATTATATGTTTCTACGGTTTCATTGTTTTGACACAATCATTAACTAGGCTATTCACATTTCAGCGTTCTTTCTGCCGTCTAGAGCTGGGAAATCAGTGTTGATATTTCAGTATAACAAGTTTTGGGTCAACAATCAGTATCGCAATAAGTTGAATTGGGCATGTAGAGACAAAGACACAAAGGGATGCCTGTGCAGAGTCCAGACTACCATGGAAGGCCGCTTCATTCGTGTCAGAGGAGGCCATAATCACGAGCCTAACTTCACACCTAACAATTTTGATGCACCTGCTCCCGTAGAGAAGTCAGTTAATGATGTGACCCCGTTAAAAGCAAACTACAACTCAAATCTGACTTTCCATGACAACAAAAACTTAAGAACTGAAGATTTATTTACTATAGCATCTGTTCGGTCCCAGTTATAATTAGTGGTAAACTTGCTCAGTGACAACAATGGCTGTGATAAAAGTACTCGATGACTTCGGTAACAGAGTGATTTGCTACAAGCTACTTTCTCATTCCTTATATTGATTTGGTTTGTGATATTTGCACGCCCTTGTGTTTAGATTTAATTTATGTAAGTTTTATTTTTAAGTCTTTTAAAGTGGCATTATCTTTTTTTTCTTATTAAGTAGAGTAAATATTTGCAATGAATGGTCTCGAATGTTACAAATTTTAAAATCAACGTATGTAGGTAATTTACTTTTAATATTTTGTGTCATATTATGTATTGCATTATGACTGATTTATGTTACAGATTTTTTTAATTATCCATAATATTTGCACATTCCATGACATTACTTTGAAATAATTTTAGCTTACTTGTACCTAATAAAATTGAGACGTTGTAAACCATTGAAGAAAAAGAAAAATACTTTGGTAACTACTATACATTTATAAACATTATTATTTGTTACAATACAGAAACAACCGTTAAATAATTTTTAGGTAATTCTACAGATAGACTCTATTCAACTTTAAATGATTTGTATTTTCAAAGAGAGCCTTCTTAAGAAATACTAATCGGTGTGCATCAAATCCAACAGATAATTCAGTTTTATTGACGGGAAACAACATTCATACCCCGACCTATGATTAATATCTAATGAATGAAGATGACTCTTATGCTGTTTAGCATTTTAGTTCTTGTTTTGAACTGGGTCCGTTCTTTTGACGGTAACTTCACTTACTTTTGGCCCTACTTTAAGCTCCTAACTCGATTCTATCCCAATTTTTAGGCCATCTTGCACCTACATTCTTATATCAATTTTAAACCTTAAAATTAAAATTGACGACCTCCGTGGCTTAAGTAGTATGCATGTCGGTTTTCAAGGTGTCGCCTACTCAGAGGCGGGACCTCTCGGGTGTTCGAATCCTGGTGGGACAAATGTTTCTGTGATGAATACCAGTATTTATACCTGAGTCATAGATGTTTATATGTATTTCTAAATTAATATACTTACCTACTTATGTATATATCAGTTTATGTATTCTATAGTTACCCTATTATCTCATAAAGCAAGCCTTACAGTGCTTTCTTTGGGGCTAAATATTTAAAATTTTATTTAGAAGTTAATCAGGTTTAAGCCTTCTCAACCCTATTTGACCTTAAACAGTTGACAAATATGAAATAATGTTATAAAGAGGATCAAGCCTTCAATTTAATACAGAATGTTGGTGCAAGTAGCCTTTAAAGTGTGTTATCAGCCATTGATGAGCGGCATTATCGATTTGATCGCTACTTTTACATCGCGGAATGAGTTCAGGTACGGCCCGTTTCCTGTTCAGGGCGAACAGTGAAATAAATAAGATTTATGTTACAGTGTAAAATAATGAATAAACTGCATAATAAATACCTTTTTTCTTTGATTCTTTTTTATTAGATAAGTATATTGTACTACTTTAGTCAAAAGTAGTTTTCTTACCTTTGTATCTTTATACGCAAATAGCAATGGTGCAGTGATAATTTTCAGTGTATTGGGGCATGTCGCGTTTTGGGAACCCCGTGCTGGTAATCGATGGACACAGGTTCCGGAGGTGCGGAGGTTTCAATGGAAAAACGAAACAGAAAAGTGACGACAAACGCATCACTTGGCGGTGCATTAAATCAGACTCGGGCTGCATGAGTTACGCTATCACCATGTACAACCGGGTCATTGCCATTGGACATACCCATCAAAATCATATGACGCCGAAAATTAAAACAAAATCAAAGATTAAAAAATGCCCTGCACTTCCTGCTCTATATAATAATGGAGCATCGCTAGAGTCATTGTTTAGTACTATATTCTGTTAGAACTTGACATGTAATAATAAAAGGGCTGTGTACAAGGGTAGAGTTAGTGGTAACGTCAACCAGTATACTATTCTACCAATTCCGAGGATGTACTCTACCAAGTTTGGTAAGGTCGAATGTTTACACGTAGCAAATAAAACTAGTCGTTTTTTGCTTCAATTCTTCAACTGCGAAGGCAAAGGAAACAAGGTCCGTACACCTTCGTCTTCAGTAAAATTATTTCTTTCTATTATTTTATGTCATTTATATGCGAGTGTTTATGACACATTTTGTTGTTTTTAGAGTATTCGTTTATTTTATTTACCCTTTTAAAAATTATTTACTAAACTTAATACAAATCAAGTTCTCATGCATGCGATGCGAGGCTGATGATCAGACTGTTACTCGACCCCAGTATACGTTATGTAGAATATACTGGGGTTGAGTAGCAGTCTTATTACATCTGAGTAGCAGTGAACATTAGAGTAGTGTCCAGGCAGGAGTTGGGAAAGGCAAGTAGTAGAATAACTTACCCACATTGCTGAATACCGTAATACTGCTTACATTAGTATTTTAAGAAAATAGTCAGTAGGTACTCTATTGTGCAACTTTAACATTTACTCTACCCGTGTACGTGAGGCCACTTAAGAGCTGCTTATAAATAACCTGTTTTTAATTCATTTGAAGAGTACATCTTGAAGTTGTTTATAAGAATTGTGATTTGATTTATGTATATTTCAGATTTTAAGTAGGTTGTCCTAAGAAAAAATTCTAAAGATTATGAAATTCCTTATTGTCTTGAATGTGAAGCATTTTTGGATCTAGTCTTAAGTATAAAATATTTTTTGTATATTACTTATTACACATTGAGTTTCATTTTGAGTTAATTCTTTTCTATGTAAGCCCCTATGAAAATTTTAGGTTAATCGATAGTAATTTCATTAGTTTACGTTTGTGCTAACAGATTTGGTTTTAGTTGCAGGCGGGGGAAATCCGGCAGATGCACCTCCAACTCTGGGTCTTCCGTTCCCGTTTCCCTGCTTTCCGGGGCAGTTTCGCTATTGTCTGAGCAAACGCGGAAAGCCGGCCATTGAGGTTGGCGCACACAGATTTTGCTTCAACGGACGAGCAGCCAGCGGAAAGGTGTGGTGGCGCTGCTCCAGGAATCCCAGGTGCCGCGCTGCTGTCCACACCTTCGGACTTCGCGTCGTACAAATGAATAGTGCGCATACATGCGGTGTACGAGCCACTCCACTAAGGCCTATGTTCTAATTGTATACCTTTAATTTATTTGCTTTTATCCAGCTGACTTAACACTTCCTATGGAAATATTACGAATAATAAATTTGTCACAATTTTGTTAATTGGCAGATAATTTTTTGCCAGTAAAATATTGGTTCTCGCTCAAGCTAATAAATTATTCTGGTCTGGATAAAGTAAAGCATCAACACCTAAGGAAATATAGGTGGAGTAGAATCTCAATAACATGATGAAGTCAAATTAATTACTTTTACGATCTGGTCATTTGTAAAGCATAATGTAGTAATTAGGAAGAGATTAGAAAGTGATTTATACCTTAATTATTGAATGATTTTGTCGATACTGAAAATTCGTTGGCGTGAAGTGAATTTTATATCATCAGAAAATCTAGTCACCGGCGGGTAAATGTTGGACGGAAATTGGCACAGATTATGATCACAAACTGTATGCCGAGTGTGACAATTAGGATTATACTCTGCTCACGGAAACAGTGGAGCGCTCGCAAAAGAAAGGATTAGGTAGTAACTACAACACAGCATAGCGTCGTTACTGCGGCCAATGACAGAAAAGCTTTATTTCGCCGGTTTTCGCCTTGCTCGTTTCCGTGACGTGAGTATGACTTACATGATTGTTTATTCTTCGGTAGCTGTCCCACTGCGCCGGCGAGGAAGCGACTAATTATCAGATATTCTCTCAGGAAACGTACGAAAGATATACATTCCGTATAAACAAAAGAGATGCATATATTAATAGTCGATAGCTGACTGTTCACACTGCTGGCGAGAACTTTTCTAGCTCTATTCGTTTCTCATTCACAGGCGGTGGGACAAGTGCCTTCATGAGAAATTATTTCAATATGTGTAAAATTTATTATAAACAAATACTCAAATTGCGATCAAGTAAATTGAAAGCTCACACTCTGCGCTCTAATGATGGCAGGCAGCGTATCGCGATTTAGCTGGATCAAATTGTGTTCTTTTGAATGGAATGCGAAAACTTGCTCTTGTGCCTTCCTGTCGGTGGAAACTAAGAATAATATACAGAAACTTTACGCTTTTGACAATTTAATAATACTCATATATCTATCTGTCTATAGCAGTTCTTGCGACGTCCGTCTTTGGACACAACTGCTGCAAGTTTTCCTCCCTTTAGTAGGTGTCGGTACATGGTTGCCGTTACATTTACAAGCCGGTTGTTCTGGCAGCTATGCCCTGCCTATTACTACTTGCTGAACTCCATTTCTCAAACTTACTGTTTTAATGTATGATATTCTCCAAAGAGATTATTATGATAATAATTTACCTATACTACGGTAGACATTTGAGCTGTGTAAAGTATACGATTATTTGATAGAGTCTAGATTAATGGCCGTTTGCGTACCTCTTAAACCAATTGAGACACTTCAATATAGGACAGTAAATAAGTCTTGCTTCTTGGAACTAACACCAAGATAAACCCCTGTTATTTAAAAACAAATTCGATTCACTTTCAAAGGGCAGTGCTATGGTAGTGCACCATGACGAGAAACTATTAGAGATTGTCTTAACAAGTAATTCTTCCAACGAATTACATTTTAGATTGGATTTTAAAAACTGCTTGCTCAACAACTGCCTCGGTAAAAATATTTAGTTCAAAGTGAACTTTAGAACAATAATATTTATGTTTTGCGTTTATCTTGATTTAAATACATTCGCTTTTTCGTGTAGAGCGTTGCGAAATTCCAAGTATAAACTATTTTTTTTTAAGAATTGCTGAAGCGAAGCAAGAAATTCTTTCATTTGACTATTGTCTCAAAGCCGATCTTCCGCACGCAGCGGCCTTAGTTGTAGTTCGTTGTACAAAGTGATAGTTCTCTTATGATATCCAAGTATTTTTATACATTATTTTTATATTATTTTTTTAACGATTATATTCGTGAATTTTGTACATAAATATAGTGATTGTTGAATTGGAGCTGCGTCTTGCTCCTTTCGAACGGTTGGTTTCGTTTGTGAACAAAAGAATGGTTATGTTGTTGGTCTGAGATGAGACGGTGCAGGTGAAGTCATGTCATGTATACGATTTAGGATTTAATGTAACGACTTGTTAAAGTAGAACACGTGCATTTATTGAACAATGGACTTAATTATAATACTCATTGTATACGTTGTAGTTATAAGAACTTTATTTAGTGAGAACTTAGTTTCTAAATGTATTAACGATATTTTTAATGATTCTCTGAATTGTTTTAAAGAATTCATGTACTTAATGTTTATTTTTTTATTATTATTTAGTAGATGATATTTTTTTGCTTCGGCTGTACGTACACAAAGAATTTTTATATATAATATTTTTGAATGTCACAAAATACCAAGTGATATACACCAGTTGAAATATTACCATTATATATGACTGTATTATTATGTTAACCTGCTGAGTATTATTTAAAGTATTATTTCTACATTGTGATAAGATATTCTATTTGATATTTTTTAATCCAGAAAGTATTATGGAATAAAGGTAGCTATAAGCGGCAGTCGTCGACCTGAGAATGTTTATGCTGTGTAGTGAATATGGTAGCTGGAGATGAGTTCTCTTGTGTATAGGTACAAAGAAACGATTATATTGCGCTGATGTAATACTTGTTTTAATCAAGATGCCCGTCTTGACATTGCATCCTACAATAAAATCTTTAAACTATTTTTTTTCAAATGCATACTTTAAATACAAAATATACAGTCGAACACAGAACCTCCTCCTTTTTTGAAGTCTGTTATAAAAGAGGATGATATCTTTATCAAAGAAACATACTTTTTTAAAAGATGTATTTCGCTTGTATTAGAGTAAAATATAGAGGTTTTATTGAATTTAAAGCCATCTAGTAGTCATTATTTCTAGGATCTGAGCCATCTAGTTTTTCACAGGGATTATTATCGAAAATTGCTAGAAAACTTGTCATTGATGGAAAGTTATACGTGAGACGTCGAGAAGGAATTGTGCTTTTGTGAGGTATCTAGTAATTTGATATTATTTTATTAGCATGACTGTAGTGGCTTGAGTTAAGGGTAGCAAAAATAGATCTAACATTTGTGGTATTTCAGGATGGTTTTACATCCGGTCGGCACGCGGCGGACTACATTTGGTCGCCGACGGCCACATCTTCTACGAGGACGGTGGTTCGCACCCTCGGCGAGTCACTTGGAGATGTGCGAGGTCTTATCAAAAAGCGGAGCGTTGTCAAGTCGCGTTGTGTCTTAGAGACGGGCGGTTGGTTTACTTTCGGGGATCGCACAACCACCCGGCGACTTACAACCCCGCGAAACACGACTCAAGGAAATTCCAGGTAGATCCTATGGGAAAGTACAAGATCGTAGCTAGCCCGGCGCCCCGGAGGGTTCCCATGGTGCCCGCGCCCCCCGCGCCCCACGCGGCACTCCTGCTCTAGGCCTGGCGCGACCTCCTAGTCCGCGGCCTCCTCGATGGGAGCCATTGACCGCGGCTGGAGCGTCGTAAAACGATACCGCTTAATAGATTTTGATACTTGTTGTACGTATTTCCTTTAAGCACCATCCCTTCTGTGATATGCTTCGATTTGCCAACTAAAAAAGTTATTGCTTTGACGCGTGTTTACGTTTCGTCTGATCGTAGGTAAATGTAAACTAACGGTGTCACAGCGGCGATGTTGTTTATTGGGAACGCATGCTAATTAGGTATTCCTCAAAGAAACAAAACGTGCTTTATTTCCCTTGCGTTTAACGATGGGATCTTGCCTAGCAGTTACATAGTTTACGTTTCTTTCGACTCGTACATTATTCAGTATAATCGATACGCGTAGCTATAGTTTCCTTATGGAACATTATTATTGGGTACATTGTAGTTCTAAACGAATCAGAGATTTGTTGAAAGGAATTAAAGCAGAGTTTTGTATCTTTAACGTTGTTATATTTATTATTCTTGCAAAACGACCAAAAATTATCAAGTGAGTTTTTTAGCCTACCTACCTGTTGAATTACTCTACCAAAGATTTTTGAGACTATTTCTTTTTATATTTTCATCTTATTTATATGAAATTTAAGCGTATATTTGACAGTGGCATTGAACGTGTCACTGGTCAAGCATGGCGATGGATGGTGTCATTAGAGTTCGGTGACTAGTTGGCAGCGGCGTGCAACAGGCGATTTCACAATACTTGTAGTAACCTAACGGCATCAATTTATGATTTAATGGGAATAACGACGGGGTGGGATAGATAGAGACGCTTTATGGTCGCCTTGCACCGAATGCCTTAGCGGGTTAGCGGCTAATGTTTAAGTGATGAGATGATGACTAAGATATTATTAAACGTATGTTCTGGATGTGCAATATTCTCTTACCAAATGTTTGGAAATTATGTATACAAACTGTATAGCTTTAATTATAGTGTAGCCGTCTTGTTGATGCTTTTTTATGAAATTCTATTTATTGACCGCGTCGTAGTTTGCGGACCGACTGATAGACGATGTTACGAAATACTCCAATATTTACGATCTGTATTTAGCTGTAGATGTAGTTAGTATACGTACGTATAACGATGTACCAGCTTATGAATAAAATATTACGAGCGATAGTTTTTTATAATAGACATTACTATATTAAATTATGAAAATTAAGTAGAGGCTCATTTATTTGTATATACTACAGTAGAGCGAATGAGAAATAGGTCAAAACCTGATAACAGGTTTTGTAGTATTGTCTGTTTATTCAATTAAATCAGAGATAGTGATAGCGATATACTACGCAGGGCTAATTTTATCATTCCTTTATAAAATATCGGATTGTGATCTAAAAAAATATAATATGACTGTCACTGTCAATATTCGAGACTTTTTAGGGAGTGATGAAAATATACCCTTTCCATTAAAGTCTATAGTAATTAAATCAGGGTTTTTATACGTTCAAGAACATTTTCTCTGAACGTTGTATTAAGTAGATCTGTATCAAACCTTAAAGAGTGATTTATGTAATCTTTGAGAAGTAAAATATGGCATTTATTAGTTTTGTATTATCTAACTGTTTAATTTCATGCATATATTCATAAAATACACCTTATTAATGAATAAACGTTTTATTTGTAAACCTTTCTTTAGAAGTAGAATAACCAATTCTTTTTGTCTTTTTCTTCTTTAACGGTTAGAATCCAACCGGGAACTGAAATTTGTTCTAGTATAAATTTTCTTTAGATATACAAATCCTATTTTTGCAAAATTATTATCAAAAGTTTTAGACGATTTACAAGGATTCGTAGAAAAATGGTGAATGTTAGTGATCTACGTGCGACTAGGCAGATGCGGCCGGCAACTTCGTTTACGTAGAATAAGTTGTTCCTCATATTTTTTTCGTGACAACAGGTAGCCTATGTCATTCTTCAAAGAAATTTTCAAGTGGTCTGGGTGCGAAAACGCAACAGACGACAAAGATTCACCTCGTATTTGTAATAAAGTATGGATTGATTCTGCAGAGTTAAGCAGTGAACCCGCCGAAGGACCGCTACTGAAAATGGGCGGGTACTGGTACCGCCTCGAAGGTTACTACCGCCAGAAGAGGCGCTGGGTATGCGCACGCGGCTGCGGCGCCCGCGTTCACACCACGGGGAAGAAGGTCGTCTTCCAACTCGCTAAACACCGGTGCAAGAACAATAATAACACATTTTAACTATGTGTACTGTGACACATTTTTACTAAGTCTTGTGCTGTGCCTTTATTAATAATAAAATTTTAGGAGTTTAGGGTGTCTTCAAATGTAATAAGGTGAGTATCAACAATGTTCGCAAGCCTCTAGCGCTCCACGCTCTTAACTTCACGTAGTTGATACGTTTCTGCACTTGGAACATACAAAGTTGCAGTTTTGTCGATTTTAATGCTTATACATCCCGAATCTATTGAAGAAGTTGGAGGAGCGCGAGGCTCAAGAGGTTAGCGAACATATTGAAGCATTGATGTGATAGCGCTGTCATAGAGAAGCGCAATAGTAGCTCAATTGCGGTGCAACAACGCAAGTCTGTTACGCTAAGAAATAATTAGCGCGTCTATTCCCTATCCAATTAAGTGCGATTCAAACTAAATGGCAGCTGTGAAGTTAGTGCAATTCGCGTCGCCGTACCTAGGTATAAATTATGTCAAAAAACATGCTAAATTGTACAACATACAAATGAAATATTTAGGAAAATGAGAATCTGCGTATAAAGAAACGTTGTTACGCCAACGTAATCCAAAATCTGTGTCTAGGACATATTGACATTGTTTGACAGATGATAGCTGATACTATTGGTGTATATTTTAGTTTATAAAATCACCTAAGCCGCCCACCCTTTCGTTAATTGTTATAAGTATTTTTAAAGGGCTCGCAATACAATGTTTTTTTATATTTAAACTTTTGCCAATAAAAATTATTTTTTTATGATTTCCGTAGCTTAATTAATTTAAAGACATGCATTGCACATTACCATAGATATCTGTGTTGCCATTAATTTAAATGTTAAAACAACATTTTTATCTAGTATAAGTAGAAAATAAATTCTATTTAATGCATGATTATACTTGAGAAAATAATGGATATTTTAGGTGCGCGTGGGTTTTGATTGACTAAACCCTGAGGACAAATTGGATAGTTGCTACCTTTACAACCGCCATAAGGTTTGTAACGTAAATATGTAAAATCGCGTATTGTTTTTTTTATAGACTTACCTCTTTTATTTAATAAATGGAATGCCTATTATTATCATTGAATCTTTTAACAAATGTAACGATTCCCACCATTTTTGTGCTAAAAATATGGTTTAAATTTACGAATAACGATTTTATAATTTACCAGACGTATTTTATTATATATTTAATAAGAAAGATTTGCATTTTTAACCAGCAAAATGAATAAAGTGGATGTTCCAAATGAATTTCATGGCTATTTAAGTTACTTGTCTTATCCTATTGCTATAGCAAAGAAAGTAAAATCTCAGTCAATTAATTTTATAAATTTATTGACGTCTCTGAGTGTGTAAATTAAGAAAGCCTACTAAGGCGCATGGATGGATGGTGGATGGCGTTGGAATGTTGGGTAGCAGTGCTTTATTAAAAAGCTTTGCTCTATCCGTTGTGGGGTAAGGATGAGATATTATAAAGTATAATGTAGATATTTGTTTACTAGGTTTTCACGCGCATCACTCATTAAATAAAACTATTTTTACGGGTTATATGCACTGAATTTATTTATCTGATGTTTCGCAGCCTTTGCAGGACTGCGTCTTCAGAAAACGCAGAAGAAGAAAAACAAGAAATTCCTTTCCTTTCTGAAGACGCAGTCCTGTAAAAGCTGCAAAACGTCAGATAAATAAATTCAGTGCATATAACCCGTAAAAATAGTTTTATTTAATTTGTTATTTATTTCATTTTAAAACCAGTGTTCAATTATGACGCCATCCCCACAATTTTGTATTAATTAGCCTGGAAGATTATATCGATGTCTGTGCCACCGTCCAGTAATCTAGACGAGCAAAAGGAAGGGTTTCTAAGTTGTGCTGAAAATGCTCTAATCTAACACATCAATGACTTGCGGCGAAAGTGTTATATTTTCGGTATGTAAACCTTCGTGGGATCGAGACTCACATAAAATCTAGATTTCATGGCTAACACATTGTGTGAACATTTCAGTGCAAGTTATATACAGCAAGACTGGTTATCCGAAGCTGATGTTGAATGGTTACATGTACCGGCCTCACAACGCGTATCGCAACCAGCCTAAGGTGCTCTGGTACTGCGCAGCGAGGAATAAGTTTCAGTGTAACGCTACCCTTCGCACTTACAACAGGGAGGTGGTAGCCGCTACAGGAACGCACAACCATGCGCGCTGACCAATAGCAACTCGTGCGCTTGCGCCGCCAATGCGTAGTGCGCGATCACTCGATATGATGCACATACAAGAGATTTTCCGATTCTACGGAGAAAGATTGGGGCTGCCAGCTGGTAGTGCAATTGATAACGTACTTACGTAGCTCCAAGAGCTAAGCGGTTTTATTACCTCTGGTGCTGCAGGCGTCTATAGGCTTCGGTGGCCATTACCGCGTGATTGTTTTTCAACCGCGTGGTATAAAATAACATTCATAGAATGAAATTTATCGTGAATCTAAAGTGATAACTCCAGTAAGAGTGCTTTTGAGCCAACAGTTATGTATACAATTTTTATCAGATTTCAATGTCAAACAAATCTTGCAGTTTTTTAACTGTGGTTGGTTGGTCACACATTTCTAAGGTGCCAAAACAAATTGAGTTCACTTTATATTGTTTGTTAATTTTAAATATATAAATGAGGTGATAGCAATAGTGATAGCAATATGTCACAAGTAAAGTAAAGAAAATTAAGAATAAGAAGCTTGAAAATTAAACAGTGACTTCGAATGTCGTTAGGTGATATTATGAGTAACAAATTTTACCACAATATCCAGTTCCTAAATGCGTCATGTTGTTTTACCATAATATGTTAATTTTAAGCGTCATAGTCATAATAACTTCTACTAGAAGCTAGCTTATTACAGTTATCAGTCAGTAATATTAGATTCATTTTTATTTAATTCGTATACTTTTAAAGTTGCGATTTGAGTCTCAAGATATAATACTCTCTCTGTTGGTTTGTTTTAGGCGTTCTACTTCAATTGTAATTATTGTACATATTATTTTGTATATACCTAATTTATTAACCTACAAGAGAGTTTTAATTTACTACCAATGCAGTTAGTGAGTAGACTGTAGATTTTGGGCGAAAGAAAGTTTTGTCAGACGTTTTATCAAACGGATGTTTTTCGTTTTCAATGATGGTTTTGCGCAGTGCCTGCGGTGTACGTGCCGTCGCGGACGGGCAAGTCGCTGCTGCTGCACGACGGGTATACGTTCTACCTGAAGAACTTACAGGCGCACGGGCGGAAGCAGTGGTACTGCTCGTCGCGAGATATGGCCGGTTGTCGCGCTGACGTCATCACCGCCCCCGCGAACACAGGCAACGGTGACGTCCTCTTCTTGGTCCGCGGACGCCATATACACGGACCCCCCAATTACTATTTCACGCCCGATGGCAAATATGTTCGAAGGAAAGACATCTACCACAGGTACAGGTAGCGCTGCAGCGTTTACGATAGTGTAAGATGATTATTTTTTATTTTTTTGTGTATTTTCTGTGCCAGTTTTTTTGTGACTTTCATCATGAGTATTTTTTTAGACATTTTTTTATATATCATTGTGTTTTTTGAATTTTTCTTTATTGTTTTATCTATTACAAAGTTACATGACAACACTATATTTTTAAAAGAATCTTTTTTGTGTCTTTTTTGTTTCGATTTTTTTTATCATCATTTTAAAAATTACTCAAAAGACCACAATAATTTTATATTATATACAATCTCGGAAAGTTCCTGATTGAATTAATGTAATTGTAGTTCAATTGATTCTCTAGTGCCTAAAATATAATGTTAATTCTCGTTTGATGTGATACGATTTAGCTGATAGTTGAAATACCCTATTATACGAGTTAAAATTAATTTTATAAACAATGAGTTTCCTTAGTTCTGATGTACTTAAGAGAATGTTTTATTATTTCATTTGGTGCAAAATCCCTGAGATTGTTTTAATTTTGGCAAAATTGTTTTAATTTAGCATAATAATACAAGATCTCGGTTTTAAGTTCAATAATATCTTTATGTACAATGTAAACACGAGTTCAATGACAATGAAGTTTCATGAAACAATCCTTATTTAAAGATCCTCGTACCTAAGCGATATAATACTCTGTATTAGGCAAACTGAAGTTTTATTAAAGGATTCAAACATTGCGCGTGTTTTCTTGGAATTCACGTGGCGTGGGCCGTACGTACGCTGCGTGACGTAGTAGGCAGCGCCCGCCGCCGCCACCCGGCTCCATTGATGTAGAAAGCTTCAGTCGAATTTCCAATTTAGCTTCGAATTCATACGGCTGGATTTCCTTTGTCAAACAGAAATGCTGGGGCGGCCGCGTGGGTTGTGAGTTGTGTTCCAACAGTCATACTGAATGAGCGACGTAGATTTGGGATAAATTTGGAATGCAGGTGAAATTATAATGAAAATTATTATACTTTAAACATAAAAATATGGTATTATTATATTTTTAATGTATGCCTAATTATTGATATTGCCGAGAAGGTTTTTACAAGTTATAAAATTTGAGAATAATTTGTTTAATGTTCTAAAATTAAAGATTTTTTTTTCAACTGTCAAGCTCACCCTATTTTCGTATTCCCTTATAACATAAAATATCAGACAGAGAAAGAAGAATTTCGACAGCAAAATAAAATACAGGACGATATATAGCTCCGTTATTTATTTAATCACAACATCCATAACAGTTTCCTCGAAATCGCATTGCAACATCGAATGTATTCGGAAGGACATGAATTGCGCAGTTGAGACGGATCAATACAACCTACAAAGTTATGAAAGAAGAAAGTTCGGCAGGGCACGGGATCGCATGGGCGTGCCATCTCCGCTCAGCCTAGTTACGCCCTGTATGCCCTAATTTTGACGTAGGTAGGTACTACGCGGGCGCGCTTCCTTGTTATGTGTGCGTGAAACGAAACGCCAGCCCTGCTATCTACAATAGCGGCCCTTGGCATCGCGATACAAGGCTACCTTCGACGGGAATTTAAAAAAAAAATCAATGAATAGGGGAGGTCTCCATATTATTACTTATTATATTGCTGGTTACAGGTTGCGGCGTACTTACCTTTATCTTTTACGATAATTGTACGCTTACAAATGCATGAGACTCTCCACTCTGACTGTGGTATTCAAATTGAGTTACAATTGCTGTAGGTGTAAAAAGGGGTTTTAAATGCACTAATTAACATAATGAGATCTTTTTTAATTCATTGTTTTAGTAAAAATAATACTTTAATCGAATCGAGTAAAGTATGAACTTATATTTATAATAATCGAATTCAGTGGCATATTAACGTTACCTACCAATATTTTTCGCAATTTGTTTAATTTAAAACCATGTTTTAAATTTGATGTAAATATTTGAAAGCACAGGTATTTTATAACAAAATTATTCAACCAAACTATCTTCACGATATTAATTTAGTTTTTCAGTGTTTTCAAATTAGATGTATGTATGTAGTTACAACTGAATTTGCATAAATTAAAATATTTCGCTTCATGAAAATCTGAACACGCTAGTTGCAAACGCAAAGTAGGTTACGTGGGCTACACATAATTAGGTTAACTACGGTCCTGTAGGCACCACTCTGGATTAGAAGTGGCAGCCGCCTCGTTTAGTCAGACGCACCATAGGTCTCGTGGGAGGACGGCGCGCGGCGTAGTGGGTCGGTCCCCAGTCCCCACTGCGACACATGCGCGCCGCTGCGCTGGTGATGGGACTCCCAATCGATACTATACTTCCCCAGAATCTCCGTCCTCGCAGCCCCTCTCTCCTCTCCCGATGCCCTAACTTACCATAACCGACAAAATATAACATCCCATTTCGGTAATAAAGTCGTTTTTACATTACAGCTTCCTCAAATACATTTCCAGAGCGCTTAATGGCCGCCATAAAGGAACTTTTAACGTAGACATTGTTTTGTTTCGTTGTATTCTCTTTTTTTTTGGAAACTGCTGTGAAAAAATATAAGCACCACTTACAATAGTAAACAGGTATTTTTATAACCTAGAACTACATCCATTTATCAAACCCGTATTGTACACTGGTAAAATTGTTGATTTTGTTTTTTTTTGTGATATTACTTTAGCTTTCTGGACAATTCATCAATGTTTTTCCTTCCATTTGTTCAAATGACAATATCTGGAATTGGGTGTTGGTGATTGTAGCGTCGTCCTTGGTGTCAAGAGTGGGGCAGACGCAAACTTGCATGCTGGTGTGGCGGTCAGTCAGGGTCTCCTTGGTGCACGCCCCTTCCTGCTGCATCAGCGTCTACGTCAAGGAGTGCTGCGACTGTTTGCTAAGAACACGTCATCGCAACAAATAGAAGCTTAACTAGTGATTTATCTCTCTGACCGTGCGTTGACTTATGTCGGCCGATATCCAAAGAATTTTGAATTAGTTCACGGGGTAACAAACAGTTTACAAGTTATAAAACACGACTCGTAAAATACTGCACACAAACAGATATGAGATAGTAGTCCTCCAATAATGCCGTCCATTATTTTAAAACAACTGTTGTTGGATTAATTTAATAAATTGAGATTGTAAAACTGACGATTTTTACATATAAAGATTAAGGTTATTATCATGAAAGATTTCTTAAACTCTATATTTGAAGCAAATTCGGTCATAACTTACCTTTTTATATCCTAAACACGCTCATTTTTTTTTATAAAAATATTTGAACTCCTTATTTTGATATTATGTCGAAAAAGTAACCTTATTTTCAATCGCAAAATCTCACGTCAATAAAGTTGCTTTTTAAACACTGAACTGAGAATGCGAAAAAAAATCATTACTGTAGAAAATTTCTCAGAAAATACAATGCGTTGTCATGATTCTCGATTATCGATAGATACTACTACATATAATTAACAACCAGAAAAGTGAATAAACCACGCGACAACGACGTGACGTTTTTGCACTTTCTGAGGAAAAAACCCATAGTATGTTTTTAGTATATTATAGTTTAGGAAGACAAAAAATATAAAACTTTAGTACAAAATTTTAATAAATTATTTACCCTTTTATTATTTATTATATTGTGATCAATAATCAGAGAAGATTAAGATTCTCTAGAATAGCAAATTAGATGAACAAAAAACCAAGCTACTTGACAATCACTTTTATCTGCTTGTAGACTAAAACCATTTTGTGGGTTTATAGAGCGTTACGTATTTATTCACACAGTAGTCGCTCGAATTAGTACACAATGTAAACATAATAAGTATTGTTTCATCAGTTCAAATTATCATGCATTTATAATTAAGTTTAAAATGTCTTCATGACTTGATTGAGAAAATTAATAAAAATCGCATAAAATATTACATGACGTTTTATTCTTTAAAATTTCATGAAGTTGTTGCGCAACAGTTTTCTGCATATATTACAAAGACTTCGAGAAAGAAGAATATGTTTCAATAAGTTGGTATTCAGTTATTTTTATGTTCATAGTGGTTAAACAAGAATTTGGTACGAGAGACAAGTGAAAGCATTCTAACCATAGCTTGATGTTTGTTGTGACCGCGGAGACCGGTCTTTGAACCTAGAATTAAGGTATGTTAAAAAATCACGGCCTCCAAACAAACGTGGACTTATCGTTTTTAACTTTATTGTAGTTACGTTATTCGATAGAATAGTTTTTAAACTGAATCGAATTCGCTACAAACTTTATTTACGAACAACAAACACTTCAAATGGAAAGAAATGAATTTTTTTATTCAATGTCCTTTAAACATGCCATAAATTTTTACCTGCTCATTCTTAGAATAAAAAAAAAGAATGTCTAGACATCCTGTCTTAAAAGCATTTCTATTAAAAGTTTTTTTACAAAGCGCTCCTAAAGGTCTAGTATCAGAGCAGGTAGTCGAAACGGCTTTGTTCATTCGAATACTTTACTGTCTGGAATTAAGATACCTTTTCATATAGATCTGTCCAAACTCATACAAAGCTATAAGATGTGTTCCTTTTTTTTTCTAGCTTAGCCGTATTCGTAAAATTTAAAGTAGGTACAGGTAGAAACATCATGAATAGTATAATAATAATACACTTTTGAAGCGTATTCAAGTTTATTGTTATTCTGCTTTGATTACATTTATCTACACAAGTAATAAAATATGTTGTAATCTAATAACTACATTAAAAGTATAGATTTACAAAGTTAAAGAATATCTAATAATTAATTAAAACTGGTCAGGATGGACTGGCATGTCATTGTCAATCTTAATATTTTCTATTTAACTAATTAACTTTGGAACTCTAATGATATCTGAAATAAAATGACTTTCAGCAATATCTACAAATGTTCAAAAAAATCCCGTCCTCCTTTTCAAAAGCAAATTACTGCGAGCCACCTAACGTCAGGCGTGATTTGACGTCACTATAGTGTAACACTCGCATGAAGCAAACTAACAAAATACGTTTATTATTAAGAAAGGGCCGATTACACTGCACAACTTCTAGTGCTCTACGTCACGTAGGGCACTCGATGTAGTGCAGTATAAAGGATGTAGGACCCTAAGTTAGGTCGTCAGGGAGAGCCAGACCTTCATACATTGCCTAGTGCTAGATTTCTTGGAAATAAGCCGTCCTATGTCGCAGGAAAAGTCATGTAACTTAAACAATCTTCATTACCAAAAATTTCATCTCGTTCTGTTCAGCGGTTTTAGCTCGAAAAAGGAAGAGACAGACAGATCAACTCTCGCACGTGTCAAAGTTATAAATATTAGTAAGGATTTTAGGGTTATCTGATTGAGATTAGGGTTCCTATGTTGTTTAGAGTAAATATAACGCCGTATATGTAAATGTTCTAGGTGTAGAGAAGTTTAACCGTCCCTTCATACAGAATGAGTCAGAATTAAAAGCAGTGGACTGTGGACCACAGCGTAGTGTATGTAGGCAGGTACTTCGCAGACACCTGCTTGCACCTACTCAGGTATTCTAATACCGTTACGGTGAACAAACCGCTCTAATCATTGCCCGCATACTAGATCTGATTGTTGGGAACATTCAGAAGTGAATAAGTACACTTTTTTCCCCGTAAGTCTTAACCATTTTTTTATTATTTTATCTGGTGTCGATGTTCTATGCTAATTTTCTTGCCAATCGGTTTTTGTCTTGTCTACTTGTAGGTACTTTTTTATTATATTAAGATTTATCGTTATATTAAGATATTCTTTTTTTTTCCATAGAAGAATCTGGTAAGAGTCTGCAGGTGAGTTAGAGTCAATGAATGAATATTAATATCGCTCTAACTATTTTTGGAAGTTTTTTAAAACTGAAAAGAATATTTTAATACTTTTGCAGCCGGTCTGAAATGTGGTGGGATTATTTTAATAAGTTATATTAGATATTTAATTGTGTAAAACAATACTCACTTATTTAAAGGGTTATGAGGCTCCAGAGTTAATTGTTGTTTATTTTAATTCAACCTTTTCCTTATTCTCATCCCACTTAAAATAAACAGAAATTATGCGGATTCTATTTTCTAGGCCAAAATGAGTAAGTAAGCGTACACGTGTACCACCGGTACCTGCTTGTTCAAAGTTCATTACATTTACAAACAATGTGTTGTAACAGGGTTAAAAATGTGTTATATGACAAATAATATTCATGCAAAATTGCCGTCTAAATTCAAGGCACACTAATATATTTTATTCTAGATGTAGGAAAATTTATAAAGCACATAGGTACTTGTTTATTTGCTTTGCTGTCCGGGTGTTTTTAACATGGCAAAAGATTTCCTATATTTTTTAAAAATATCAAAGAATTATCTCATTTTATATGCAATTATACCTACAGGACTTTAACTGGTATTTGACTACAGATGCAGACTTGCATTTGAGGACATTATTCCAATCCGGCCCTCGGTGCTAATTTAATCTTGGTATTTCGAAAAGTGGAATTAAACAGGAATGTCATTTTCTTCAAATGGTTTAGTTAATGTTGACTATACGATTCTATATATACACCCATATTACAAACTTTCAGTTGATGCTGGTATTATACCATCGACATTATACTTAATCTTGGACTGCAATTGATGTTTTGATGTGTTACCCATATAAAACGATGACCATTTTCTTTTATTATTATTTTAGGGCAGGTTTTAATGGCTCTGTAATGTAGATATGCGTTGCGGTATAAAAAAATCTTAATGCGTTTCTTGTGGAAAAATAGAAGAAACCTCATTCAAAGTAGCCGAGATGTGTGTATCGTTCCGTGAGAATGCCGACGGGCTATTATCGTCATCTGCGCATTCACATAGCAATCCGTTATCTAGACTTTGTTCTGTGCCAGCACTTGCCACTCTAAAGTACTTACCTACCTACTACTTTCGTTTTCACTTTTTCGATTAAGTTAAATAACTATATCTTGACTCGTTTCATTTAAAAAAGACAAATGAATTACGCATTCTTACTTACAGAGCTGCAACGAAGAAACTACTTACGTAGGTACTTTCAAGAAATAACAGACTGATTAAATTCTTATCTCAAAACATATGACTATAAACATACGCCAATTATTACTTGTCATTACATTTTTGCGTTGTTTATTTGATTATAGGTAGTTGTGATTGATACAAACACAATACTCCAAAATCACTCGTATGGGCGGCGTATCTGATGTTCTCGAGGCGGCCTCGCAAAACCAAACATCGATTATATTCGTATCCAAAGCAATAAACAAGGAAGTTTCCTGTTATCCTAAACACCGAGAGATCGAAGTTACTATAGCAACGCAGGCCAGTTTCAATAATACAGTAGTAGAGCTGTAGTATCAAATGACGCCGTATTTTATACGAGCCGTGACGTAATATCTACGACAGATGTTATGAATGAAAAGATAGCAGCGCCACCAATCATGATTGTAGTGAAGGCTCGTTCTTTCGTTTACAGTACTAAGAGCAGACGTTATGAAACTTTCAGATTCATCGCTAGATGGCGCTACGTGATCTCAAATGTATTTTTCGTAACTCAGCGCCGTAGAAATTTTGACATCAATGATTTATTTTAGTTTTTGTCGTCGAAAATTATATTACTGTAAGTTGAAAAGCGAATAAGTGATGACTAATTGACTGAAAAAATTTTTAAGAATTAAGGTTTTAGTTTAGAAGAAAAGATGAAGACGGGGAAAACTAAAAGTTGTGATGATGTTACCCATAATGTTATTCAATGCCGACTGGATAGCAAAATGCGGACCTAATTCACCTTAACAAATTGAATGCTAAATAAATGATCAGGTCATCATTGGTTCCCTCCATACAAATGGTTTCTACGTATTACTCGGCTCCCCATTTAAAAATGGCATGTGTTGTGCCTACTACGCAATAT